CGCTTTTCCTTCTCCTGGGGTTATATTGCGGAAAAGCGATCGCTGCGCTTGCCCATTCTAACATTTAATTCCACACAGAACGAAATGATGTGCACATAATATATATATGTATGTATTTCAGACGTACACACGGGGACCTGCGTGGTATTTTTCGTTGAAGCGCATATTTGCAAACGGTAACGTTCGGGGAACGTTCACTTTTTGCTTTGCTCCCTCCTTCAGATTATGGAAAAATAAAAATAAAAATCGTGACTTCGCTAACATCTCGTACGAATAAATAATTTCCGAAGCAACAAAAGCAGCAGTAGATGCAGGCTGAAGGCTCTCCGTTTAGGCTTTATTTTATGGAAGTTAGTTAGGAAGCCACGGATTCAAAATCCCTTCTCTCTTCTTCCTCTCCGCCCCTCCTCCACCCCCCCCCAAAAAAAACCCCAAAAAACAAACAAGCGAACAACACCACAAAAAAAAAAAAACAAACTATGAACCCAAGATGGCTTAAAACGGGAGAAAGTTAGAGGAAGAATACCGCGCTTGAAAGGAAAAGAAAATATTCGCTTAATAACTCAGCACTCGGCATCACACCACCTAAGGAGAGAGCCTTTAGAGAAGACAAACACATTTGTCGATTTTACGGAGCGATGTGGCCTGACTTTTCCCTTCTCGGCTCCGCTCCTTTCCGTAATATCCGCGGGAAATCCCTTCTCTCCGGGAGCCACTAAGGGCAGCAGCGCTGCGAGTCTCCCGGCACAGGTTTATCTATGTTTTATATATATATCTCTATATGCACACGCCTGTGTTTGCGTGGAGGCATCACTAGCTTCTCAGATAAGTCTTTCCCAATGGGATCTTCTCCCCCAGCTAACACTCAATTAGCAGCTGCCCCGCTATTGAGTCGATAAGTCTGAGTACACCCGAAGGTAAACGAAGGGGCTCTCATAATTCATATTCCCTTAATTACATCTTCTCCCGTGAATAGAGCCGGGAGAAAAGAGGTGTCTTTCTTTTTTTAAAAGTTATTTAACTTTCCCACGACTCGTTCCCCTGAGCTGAAAATACTGATTTGCTGTCACATCTCTGTTTGACAATGGAGAAATGTGTCAACAGAAAGGAGGGGACAAATCTCATCATTAGCCCCTCTAATGCAAGAAGCTGTTGTGTATTAAATGAGCCATATGGAATTTATTATGCTTTATCAGCGCCTGATTTTAACTGTAAAGTGATTTGCTCAGCTCCAAACTCGGAGACATCTGTTTTCTGTTGGCAATCAGGGCATCCCAATGTTTATCGTCTCTCTGGTTATGAGCCTTGGGTTGGGAAATGCACTCTGGTATGGGGCGGCAAACACCTTTAATAGCATTGCACTCACTCACTATTAGATCAATGCAGGCTTATTGCTATCAAAAATGGGAAATCAAATAGCATTAGCCAGCCCCTTGTGCGGGCGGGGAGGAAATCAAACAACATTTCGCCTTCAAATGGCCCTGTTTGTTCTAGCACTAAGTGGCCTTTTATGAAGCCCGATTGGAGATTTGATCGCGGCCAAACACGCGGCTCGCGGCCGAGCGGGGCTCTGTGCCCCGCGCCTCCCGCCCCGTCCCATCCCCGTCGCGTCGGGCCTGCGGGGCCCCCCGGGGGCCGCCCCTCACCTGCACTCGGGCATCGG